CCCACCCACACATATACCCCCCCCCCACCCCCTCCACCACCCCCTCACACATACCCCCTTTCATCTGCGCTCTGAGTTATTACATCTCATCCACGCACCAAGTCCACTGATAATCCATCTGAGAGGTGGTCAGAGTCGGTCAACTGCTAATCTCGTATCAAAGAGCGAATTATTTTTCCATTTGAACGACTTATTCTGTCCAGGGGAAGGTTTTAATGCCCCTTCTTCCCCCCCCCACCCCCCCACACACACAATCTGTGAGCCCCCAACCCTGGGGAATAACCTCCCCAGCCCCACACCACTGTGTCGCTTCGCTCCGCAATAACTTGTTTACTTAAGCAAAGAAAACCCTCATCAGCCCTACAGGGTAATAGATACACAGCCTTTTATTCTCTCTCTCTCTCTCTCTCTCTCTCCTTTGGTTCTCTCAAACCCTTTTCAGTTTGGGGTGCTCCCCAGGATATGCGCTCTCGGTCTGTTTCGAATGACTAATAATCCTTGCATTTGATAACGGTGCTTTATTTTACCACGGCGTTGAGACGACGTGAAAGGCTTCACCGGGATACAGTGTGAGGCGAATTGACTGTATGTTTTGTGGGCAAGTTACTGCGAGTGTGAGTGTGTGTATGTGTGTGTGTATATATATATAATATATATTATGTGTGTGTGTGTGTGTGCGCGTGAACACTGTGTGTCTTTTCTTGAATCGGGCAGTGATCCCTCACAGCAAAAGTCAATGTTTCAGTGTTTACAATGGACTGATTATAATTGGAAATGTGTGAGAGAGAGAGGGAATACGCAGACACCCCCCCCCCCCCCCCCAATATGATCCCGTGGCTGTGCCTATCTTTCACCGGGTTACTGTGCCAGGGGCTGCTCAGTGAGCTGGCACCATTAACCCTTCACGCTGTGCCAGCGGTGACGAGGTGGGGCTGGCATCTGGGTTTGCTCTCTGTCCATCGCTTGTTTCTTGTGAGCGAGAAATCAGCTCAGCCTCAGCATCGCAAGCTCAGGCACACCAAGGTCGTTATAGGGTTGCAGGCGAGACGGGTGAATGACCCAGCTTCTCCCTCTTCTCTCTCTCTCCCACCCCCTCACCACCACCACCCCCGCCTTATAATTAAACAACCCAGGGAGTTCTGTGCCCCCCACCGCGTCACAGCGATTATTTTTCAAAGACTAAGAAACAAAACATAAAATTGGTACATCAAAAAAAAACTGGAACCCGAGACACCGGCCAACCTCGAGACGGTGTATTTTATTAATCTATTAATTCCCTGAACTTTACACTGACTCCTGTCCACACACACACACACTCACACACACACACCCCTCTGCGATATTACCAAACACTCGCCCACAAACATGCAGCATTTTACGGTAAAACCTTTTACAGTCCAGTATTTTGAGACTGTGTGATAAGGCGCTGCATCAAATACAAAGCTTGTAACTATTATTATTAATACTGAATTACAGGCAGTGGCGGGCTGGTGGGTGGGTGAGGGAGGGAGGGAGGGAGGGGGGGGGTCTAAAATTCTAGGGAACGTAATTGTGAGCCGAGTCTTGGGATCAGAGGCCAGAGTATTGCTGACATGCAAGTCGTCCGAAGCTGACGCCTGAGTTGAAGGGCGCTCGCTCGCTCGCTCGCTGACTGCTTTCCTCTCACGCCGAGTGAGCGAGAGGGTGAATGAGTCACGGCGAATATGGCACTGTAACAACCCACGATCACGTCCTCCCACTGTGTAGAGCTGAGTGCACGTTAACCCTTTAGGTTCTCCCTGGGACTTGGCACCCCACCCCCTGTGCGTCTCTTTAGCTGCGAATCAATGATAATCAATGCGGTCGCTCAAACCGCCACTTCTGTGGGACGCTGCTGCCGTGTTTCACCCACAAATTACACGGCCGCTTTACAGTATGTTCCGTGAAGCGCTTTGAGGCGGCTCGAATCTCGCGATAAGGCGCTGTATCAAATGCGAGGATTATTATTAATGGCACGCAGTTCCTCCCTGGTTCGCCTTAAAAGACTGCGAGAAGGGAGACAGGTTTCGAACAGTCAAATCTCCTGGGCTGTGGCCGCTGGGATCTCGGTGTGATACAGATTGTAGAAATTAGACGCATTCCCGGGGGATAACGAGACGCTCGCTGGCAGATAGATCAACTAGATTGGAAAGCTGCTTCATTGAGTGACTCTGCAGTGAATACATTAATACAATAAAGATATTACAATCCACAGGAGAGTCACTCTGGGAGCAGCCACACTGAGGGCTGTTTAAAGCTGAGAAAAGGCAAGCTTTCCCCGTCCCGAGCATCCGAGTACTCTAGCCCGGCGAGGCCGCCTGTTAATGGGGATAGGTCGCCACTGGGTGGGTGGGGGGGGGGGGGGGGTAAAAGTAGCTACTTCGCAGATTTGTCACCCCCCCACCACCCACCACACACACGTAAATGATTGGGGTTTAAAATGAGCTGATTCTGCTCAATTCATATATGTGGGTGTATAATAATAATAATATACACACACATATCTACAGTGCATTCTGTGAAGCGCTTTGAGACGTCTGGAAGACTTGAAAAACGCTATATCAAATGCAAGGATTATCATATTTGATACACTGCCTCATCACGTCCTCGAGACGTCTCAAAGCACTTCACAGAATATACTGTAAAGTGAATTGAATGTAGATTTTGTGGGGTATATATATGTGTGTGTGTGTATATATATATATATATATGGGGTGACCAAAAAGTCAATCTAATAAGTCTTAAAAGAAATGTTTTTTTTAGTTAATAGGGTACTTATCATGACTTTTTGGTCACCCTGTTTGTGTGTGTGTGTGTGTGTGTGTGTGTGTGTGTATATATATATATAAATCCACGACTGGGACACCACTGCTGCGTTTCACCCACAAAAATACACAGTCGCCCCACTTTGCAGTCTATCCTGTGAAGTGCTTTGAGACGTCTCAGC